AGGGTATATTATGAAAATTTGAAAGAAAATGGATAAAATAGTCACAAATGCTTATTATAGAAAATACTACCAAACGCTCAATATAAAATAAGTGCTTATTTTAAAAAATGAACACTTGAAAAAGTTGGATGCCAAATGCAAATAAGTGTTTATTTGAATAAGCACTTATTTTTAACTTACACACTCCCAAACATGACCTAAATTTATATTTTTGCTGATAAATGATCATGGCATACGGATAACCATAGGCAAGTATTAGGTTCCTCATTGTTATTTGGTCCAACGTGGACGTGGCATGTATTCTGTGGGTATAGTTTGTGTGGGTACAACTTGGGCTGCTGGTTTGGGTGTATAATTTGTTAAGATTTGAATGGAACCAACTCAAAAGACCAGGCCCAATTTGTTAAAAGTTGGGCTGGTTTAGCTGAACGTTATGGCTGTGTAGTAGGCTATGGAACTAATAATAATGTCTCACACTAGTCATCAATGTTAAGTGAGAGATTCATTGGTTGTGGGTCATATAAATTTATGACTAGCGTGGGGTGTTGTCATTGATTCCAGTTTGCTATACAGTCATTGCGTGATCTGCATAGAGACTGGTTAGGTTTATGGTGGGAGTTTGGGTTGGCCATAAAGCTATATCCACAAATTTCTGTCCTGCCTACATTAGATTGCAGTTCCTCTGTCAACTTATGCCTCCCAAAACAGTACAAGTTGAGTATCCGATTTAAAGAATCTACACTATTGGGCCTACGATTTTGGCTAAGCTCAATTTGAGTATCCCAAGACAAGGCCAAAGAGGAATGAACTGTGTGATCATTTCGACTAAAAGCCAAATGCGTTCTTCAACCATTAAAATTGAATTGTAGATGTGGTATCAATGTGTTACCATTCTAACTCCAAAAATGCAACGCTATAATTCATGTTGGTTACAAAAGTTTGAGTGGTGAGTGATGAAGACATAAAAAGACTGCTAAGGTGCAACTTAGTCTTCTTGGGTTGCGTTTAAGCCCAACCCAAGCCCAACATAATTCACAGGAGAATTAGTGGAATCGAGATTTGCTACCACAGTTCCATCCCACCATGTATTGAAAACATTTTTCCATGAATAACAATATAAAATATAGGAAGATGTTATGAGGTTGGTGTGAGAAGCAATTCAGACTCAAACTCGAATAAGAGTGGTTGGATATAAAAAATCAGTTGTTTTCTGTGGAGAAGCGTAAGGCTAAAATTGTGAATCACACAATGAGAGCAAATTTTGGCAAATCTTGGGCAACAAGCTCCTAACCCAATGAGAACAAATTTGCCCAAAGTATTACTATTCCTATTTACAAAGTTAAAAGAGACATTAAGATGGTGTTTGGAAGTGTGGGTGTTTTTTGGACCAATTTTCAAAGTAAAAAAGAATGCCCATGCTTGTTAGACCCGTTTTTCGCAAAAAAAATACATTGATTTTGTTTGTGAGTGTTTCTGCCACGTAGGCAATGAGCAACACTATGTTGTTTGGTAAGGTGATTTTCATCACCGTTTTTCATGTATGTGCACACATTATCCCGTAAGATGATGTGCGCTAATATCATACCAAATTATATAACGATGCTTATCAAATGGTCTAGATTAATTGGATGATTGTTTTATAATATCTGGCCTAAAATTTTAAATCCAACGGTTGAAAATGCTGTTGGCATAGATCAACAACATCAACATGAATAATGGCATCATATCCAATGGTTGTGCGTGATCCAATCACCTATTAGTACAAACAATAGTTAAATGCTTCAAAAAGAAAATTCAGATAATCAATAAGTATCAGTTAAAATGTCTAATAGTATCTCCATTTGTCCACCACTTTGATAATAATATATTCATCTTATTTAATGAGCTTTAAGACTAATAAGATAATTATTAGCCAAACCCAAATTAGAAGACAAACCAAGTTACAACCACAACAAGCGATGAGTGCAAAATATCCTTTGTTTTGTTGTGGTTGTCTGGTAGATGAAATTTGTTGAATAACTTCAGCCCTAAGTGCTCTATGATGGATTCCACCATATTCATCTACCCATACAAATGAACCCCTGTGGTTACCCCTTACTGGGCAACATAAAAACCATCGCCCATAATTAGTTTCTGTCCTTGCCATATGTAGTGTCATCTCCCCTTTACCACAAGAGCAGTTTCGTAAGAACATCCCATCAGTCATTTCTACATGAATAACTTGTATAGTAAACATCCAATGATGATCAACAAGTGAGCATAAAAATACATAAACTTATCATAGTTTAAAATATATGAAGCAGTAAAGAAGTTTAATTCATAACAAACATAAAACTCATCACAGTTTGAATTCCAACACTTTCTTGGTCTGAAACATAACATCACGTTTCACATGTTTCGGCATAAGCCACAAATCTGCGTTACCCGCTGGGTAGATCTTTGGTACTTTTTTCAAAGCTCAGAAGCAATTTAGTCTCTAACCATGTCCATCTCGCTACTCGAACCCAGTGTAGATGTAGTGTGCTTTTCACCATCATCATCGCTACTTGAACCATCATCATCTGAGTCATTTTCATAACCCTTTACACACTCATCTATGTGTTTATCCTCACGCGCCTCTTTTTCTATGAAGTTGTCTATTATAAAGCATGATATTACAAGAAGTTGTTGGAACTCTAACTGGTAGCATGACATGTTTTTCAATATGAGGAATTTACCCTTCAAGATTCCAAAGCAACGTTCGATGACATTACGCAGTGAAGAATGAGTGTAGTTGAAAAGGTCTTCCTTAGATCTAAATCTATCGGACTATCTCCTGAACTCACTACCGTTCACCAGAGTATAGGGCTAGGAAATCGGGAGCATTAGCATATCCATAATCAACAAGGTAGTACTTTCCTGCATTGAATTCTAGATGTGAGGACACACAAATGATGAAGAGAACTGATAAAGGGCAATTCTAAGGAATGTCTACTAAACCTAGTGGTGGTTTGGGAAACCTTACATTGGGCATACTAAGTGCTTCTACAAATATCCTTGAATCATGTGTTGGTCCTTCCCATCCCATGTATACAAAGGTAAAGAACATATCAAAATCACAAGCAACCAAAACATTTGTCATACAAACCTCCTTCCTTCCTCTATATGGTATTTGTTTAGCAACTGGGACGGTAGCTGATACATGTATACCATCTATAACATCCACACAATCCTAATCACAATTATGAACATAGTTAGAACAACAATTGTGGAGAAAGTTACTACAAACTATGAAGTGTAGTTACCTTGAACATTGGGTAATATCTCTTACATTTCTTAATAAATGGTTGCATTTCAGTGAATGTAGGTGGCCTTATGAGCTCCTTCCCTATTTTGTAAATTGTTCACACATCAGGCAGTTCCTCTCATTATGACCATTGTGAGGAGGAAAAATGCAAGTGACTCCTCGACGGTGGTATTCCCAGTGTTCTTCAAAACTCCTCTCACCATAAGTAGGGACGCCAGGCTTTTGAAGACATGTTGTTCCATCTTAAATGAATTATAGCATCTATATGCATGTTCTAAGTCATTAAGGACTTCTATCCACACATAAGTATGTCTGGTCAAAAAAGAAGTCATGTAACGCTGCCTTTTTGTTTGTGGACAATACAAGTGTAGTATGCAAGAAGTCAGAATGAAGTTTATCATTTCCTCATCATCATCATCATCTGAATCAATGGATTGTCTTTTTTGCTAATACTGATGAGGACCCATAGAATATTGTTGTATGACAAACTTGAACATTATAACGAAATCAAAATAAACATCAGACACCATGGTTATAATTAGCATATAATCATGTAAATACCAGTATGTAACAAAATATTTCATCAGCCCAAAGTAAACATCAAACACCATTGTTAGGCATGCTCATCCATTTTAATCAACCCCCTCAAGATTAAGGGACCATTTTTGATAACAACTGAAGTTGTTCAATGAACTATGATCTATCCTAGGTTTAGCCATTAACAATCCCACAACCTCCTTTTATATCTTTTTCACCAAAAGACAAGGGAACAAAGCATTTTCAATTGAGCCTCTTCAGCTAGAGAGAGAGAGAGAGGGAGAGATTATAGCAAAACTAGATCATCTAATTTTCTTTTTATATGACATTAACCTAATGGCTATATTCAATACTATCCATGATTATGGAAACATAACAGTTCTCATTTATCACATAGAAGGACTAGTCTATATTCAATACTATACAAGCAATGCCGGTAGAAGTGAAAAGAAAAAAAAAAAGAGTTTACAAAGGTTGTTTGTGAGAAAACGAGTTTACAATATATTCAATGTTCAAAATATCGATACGCCCGATATGTTGGGCGTATCGGCCGATACGGGCCGATACATGTCGATACTTTGAACCTTGATAGAAACTGCCAATATATCCTTATACGTGAAAAAAACATCCAAAATGGTTGTTTCTAAAAAACAGCCTAAACTATTTTGGGAGCCTCTACACAATGTATCAGCTCCTCATTTGTCTTTTCAACTAAAAATGTATTGAGTGTAAATCCCATTTTACCCACATTCATTATTAAATATCGTTCATAACAGAGCCAAAGTTTTTCAACCAATTAGGTGGTATTAATCAAAATTCACTGGGGGATTTTGATTGGTCCAACCTTCTTTAATTTTTTCTTATATACTGTTCAATTTGGTTAATAGCCTCTTTTACTTATAAATTAATTGAAATCCAAAGGGGCGTTTTTTAGGTTTTAAAATTACCAAACCAAACGGTCTGAACCAATTGGTTCAGTTTTTTAGTTTTCATTTTGTTATGAGCAACCAAACATTGCCTAAGTTTGAGCAGAAAATCTGGATTCACACGTGTAAGTTTTGTAAAGGCTTAATAATACTTACACGTGGAAGTTTTGCATTACACGTAACAAGAAAAATCCAGAGATTTCAAGAACAGCGAGAGCGCGAAAACGAGAAAAATCTGGAACATGAGAGAAGGTTTGATTTTCTTTCCCAACGGCCAACGGTTCGCCTGAGAATACTTCCAACCACTTTCGCTAACATATATATAAAGATGTAAGAGCTGGCTTCTTTCATTCCTCATCGATACACAAAGTCTGATCGTCGCACCTCGCCAGAGAGAAGTAACAAGGCGCTAATACTTTCTTCTATATTTGGGTTTGTGGACTGATTTGAACCATTAACTAAGTCATTTGGATTGCGGAACCTTTCGGAAGGATTTCATTTCAATTAAAAAGAACGGTGAGTAATCTTTTCTTCTTTGATTTCTGATTATCTGTTTCATGATCGTCAAGGTTCCCGTTGTTCTTCGAGATGTAGGGCCTTCTTTTTTCCTGTAAATGAAATGGTGGTATTTTTATCTTAGTTCATTCATTAAAATTATTGAACAACTGTACATCTTTCTACTGGGGATAATTTCGTTTATTCAAATATCAAATGGTTTCCTTCCTGTTGGTGTTGTTGCTTATATTGTCTTGCCTGTAGTATTTAATTTCAGCTGAAGTTCTATGACTTTCGTTTATTCTAGTGTTTGTTCATTTTGGTTTTAATCAAATTCTTAATCCACCGAAAGTTACTGTTTTCTTGTTCTTTATTGAAAATCTCTCTCTGTTCCCTTTCTATTGTTTGTCGAGATGCCAGAGTGCTGTAATTGTAGCTTGTAGGACATGTTATTTCTCCGTTGTCTTCTCTTAATGTTTTGTTTCTCTGTTTTTTTTTTCCCTGCAGTTCTTAATAGTTAATACAAACTATTAGTATACTGTGATCGAAATCTCAAGATCTCTCCCTGCTTGATTGCTTGTGCGAAGATCTCAGATTCGGCAGGGCTTCTAGTGTGGGCTTTAATTCCCAATCTATTCCTCAACGGAATCAAATTATGTACCCCTACTATTATTTACCGAACTGGGAAGGAGTCCCATCTCAAATGAAAGTCGAACCAGCTAAATCTCCTGTAGCATTTGCACAGTGGCCACATGGTGGTAGTTATGGCTACACATCTCCAACGGAATGCCATGGTTGCTGCAACCATAGCTACTGTCCTGTTTACTACAATTTCAGACCTTCACAACCTCCTCTTCCACCTCCACCCCCATTTTATTACCATGGAATTTACCCGCCATATTATCCCGAATCCTACCCTGCTTACTACTTCCCTTTGCATTATCCAATGGAACAACCTCGATATGAGTACGACAAGAACATGCCTACCCACCCTTGTTGTGGGTGTCCAAATCATAAATGCCGTCCAAAGGTGGAAAATAATGTAAAGATTGAAGAGCAAGCGTCAGAAGTTGAGAAGATGGAGCCTGAGCTTTCTGGACCATTAAAATTAGAAGACTATCCATATCCAGTTGTGTGGATTCCACCTAGTTATGCAAAGGAGAGTAGCAAGAGTTCTGGACTAGAAGCAAAAGCATGGAATGGTTTGTTTCCACTTGACTTGAACAATATCAAATCTTGGAAACATGGTGAAGATGAAAGGAGAGGACGGAATCAGCAAGATGACGATAGAAAGGCGAAGATTCAATTTCCAATGTTCTGGTTTCCTGTTTGTGAAAATCCAAAAGAAACTGAAAAGAAAGACCAAAAGGAAACGACCACTGGTCCAACATCTGCTGAAGAAACGCCTTCCAAGCTCAAGGTTATTCCTGTCATGCTTTTTGAGAGTGATGAGGATCGTGGGGATAAACCAGAAGTTTCTCGAGTCTCAACTAACGAGAATCAGTCGAAGATGGGGGAGGACAAGAGCAAAAGCATCGATGTGCAAAAGATGGAAGGGGAGAATAAATCCTCAGAAGTCACAGAAAGGGAACCGGAAGACATTCCTGTGGAGCAAATAGAGAAGAATGGACAAAAAACCTCCTCGGGTACTGACAAAAATAAAGGTTCTTCATCACCACCAAAAGCATCTAAGTTGCCTCCTGTTTGCTTGAGGGTTGATCCTCTGCCACGGAGAAAGAGTTCAAATGGTGCCTCAAGGTCTCCCAGTCCTGGTCTGAAAGAAGCACTGCACAAGGATTCTAATGGAACTTCTACTCCTAATACATTAGATGTGAAAGACAGACTGCGCCATGATTTCATACCTCAGGACACAAGTTCAAATAAAATTCCAGAAGAACAGCCTAAGAAAAATGACATAAGGACCATTGAAGTGAAGAAGGATGAAAGCAAAAAGGAAGAACTAACAAAACAGGATAAAGTTCAGGTTTCAGTAAGTGTGCCTCCCATACATAATGAAGAGGTTCAAGAAAAAACAGTCATTGAGAAAGATTATTTCAGTCAGAAGAAACCCATGAATGAGGAATGCAAGAGAGAAATTGAGGAAGCAAGGAAAGAGAAGAAGAAAACTTTGTCAATCACGGAGGCAGCTGTTCTTGTTCAGTCAGCTTATCGTGGGTATGAAGTGAGGAAGTGGGAACCACTGAAAAAACTAAAGCAGATTGCAAGAATCAATGACCAGGTGAAAGATCTAAGAGACCGTATTAGTGGTCTTGAATCTTCTGCTGGGCTGCAGAAAGATGAGAAGCAAAGGGCAGTTGTTGGTGAAACCATAATGGGTCTACTTCTACAATTGGACACTATCCAGGTATGCATACAGCATAACATGCACTATCCAGGTATGCATACAGCATAACATGCATTTAATGTTTTTCTTTCTCCTTGGTCTTCCTAGCAAGAAACAATTAATCACTTAGTTTGTCAATTGAACTTTTATATTTTTGACTGAACGGTGGTACATCAGTAATAGCAACAGTAGGATTGGATTGGAGAAATATGCACACATATATATGTAGTACATGTTTTTTCTGATATTAGAATATATTATATTATCCTTAGTAACCATTAGAATTTTAAGTCTATAAAATTGGTATTTTTAATCTTTTTGCTTATTGCTTATTTGATATGGTTCTGCATTTGTCAGGGTTTGCATCCAAGTGTCAGAGATATCAGAAAATCTGTGGCTAAGGAACTTGTTTGCTTGCAAGAGAGACTCGACTCTATGACCACTCAGAAGCATGAAGGGATCAAATTGGGAACTACCGAAACTGTGTACACTGGAAAATCTTCCATGGAGAGCGCTTATGACTCTGTCTGTGGTAATAGATCAAACGAAGGACGTGAAAAATCAGAACTTGCTGATGATATTCCTAAGCCTACGCATGAAGATATATCTGACCTAATGAAGCCATGCCATGGGTTACCAGGAGATGAACGATCTCTTGCTGAAAATCCAGTTCCAACAGACTTCAATAGGGAGTTCAAGGAAATTGTTGACTCCCGATTGGCTAATAAAAGCCCTTTGTTAGCTGATGGAGAAGCTCAGGCAGACTCTGATAGCAAATCTCCAAGAGAGACATGTGAAGGGCCGGAGTCAATTGTAGCAATATTTGCAGAGAACAAAGGTAAGGGATGGGATAAGAATCCTGATTGTGATAGTAGAATCGAGGTACTAAATCATGTGCATGAAAGTATGACAGATGCTCTACCATCAATGTTGGATGAGGAGATTGACCCCAAGGATGAATCTGCTCGATTACCATTATTGGAAGATAAGGAAAATGATCCCAAGGGAGACTTCATGGAGTCTTCAGTAGAGGTCCAACATATCGATTCAGATGTTGAGACAGTGGCTAAATCCATTGAATCTGAAGCTAATCCGATGTCAGCACGGGCATCTGGAGAAATGAATGGACAGCCATCCAAGGGTTACATAGATCTGGCGTCAAGCAAGGATGGAGAGTGTCTACAACAAGACAAACATTGTGCTCTTAATTCAGCAGAGTTTTTCTGTAGGCCACTAGAAATGAAGGAAAATCAAGAAGAGAAGCTTGTAGAAGCTGAGGCATTGATGCAACCAGTAATGGATGGGCAGGATTATCTAGAGAAGATTGCAGAAGGCCGAGATGTATCTAATGAGAGTGCTGCAGATTTTGTTTCACCTCATTCTGTGGATTACACAGCTATATTCAAGGATGACAAAGTAGAGGCAGAGATCAATGGGGAATCACTAGAAATGAAGGAAAATCAAGAAAAGATTGTGGAAGCTGAGCTATTGATGCAACCAGTAATGGAGGGGCAGGACTATCTAGAGGAGATTGCAGAAGGTCTGGATATGTCTAACATCCCTGAGAGTGCTACAGATTTTGTTTCGCCTCATTCTGCAGATTATACAGCTATACCCAATGAGGATAACAAAGTAGGGGCAGATGGGGAAGTGACAGTGACCAAGATGCCCAAATCTGATGAACTGGAGAAGATTGATAAGAAGCCTTTGCCATGGAATGAAGATTCTATCTGCAACACAGAAAAGCTCCTATTCTGGCCATCGAAGAAGAAAGAATTTCAGAGAGAGGATGTTGTGGAATCCCCAAACCTAGAGGTCTCACTTCATCCACATATAGTGCAGGAAAAGAGTCAAGAGATCATAGAAGGCCAAAGCGTTTCTAGTTCAGATACCCTAGACACTATAACGTCATTTGATTGCACAGGTTACATGGTTGCAGCTAGCGACATAGAAACAACTATCAAACAGAGCAAAGAAGAAACAATGGATGATCAGGAAAGGGCATTGTCTGAGCTGCCAAAAGTTGAGATGGAGGAGCAATACACACCTTCTATGAGTTTGGAAGATTCAAATGATGTGCAAAAGGAAATGGAAGCATCCGAGGAATTAGAAGCCAATGGTAGCTGTTGCTGTGATCTTGAAAAGTCTGAGGTGGCTGATGAATATATCATGAACAGAGAAGACTGTGGAAAAGAAAAAATCCACCTGGTCCCCACATCTGAAGACAAAACTCACCTCCTCCATGGTACAGAACTAGCTGAAAGTAATAAAAAACTAAGGGAGATGCTAAACAAGCTGATCCAAGCAGGCCAGGAGCAGATGACAATTATATCAAGCCTGAATGGGAGAGTGAGAGACTTGGAGAGGAAATTGACAAGGAAGAAGAGACTGAGAAGGAGACGTGGGGTGGCTGCTGCATCTTCCTCTGTTGATAATCTAAATTGTGTGGTGAAAGACAAAGCTGTGGATTGCAGCTTGTAATTCAAGTGCTTCTACAGCGTTTTCTCTCCAATGTACACGCCGGAGTTATGTTAGTTTTATGTAAAGAGATAGAGTCTGTTGTGTCGTTGTTTTATAGTTTGTATTTTGTGTTACTACGTTTTTTTAAGTTGACTGGTATCACATATGCCTCTGTATTTGCAAGGGCGCCAATACCAATTGGTATTGGTATTAGTCCCACTCTATGTTGACTCCTTGGATATCTTCTCCGTTTCAACATTCTCTAGTTTCAGGTTCTTCTTCTGCATTCTTCTCAGTTTCTAAGGGCGCCAATACCAATTGGTACTGGTGAATATAGAAACCAACAGATGATAATAATATTCAGTTGAATGTGTTGAGAGTTATAAGCAACTTGAAGCCATTAGTCTTGTAAAATGTTAAGTGGACTCTAATGTTATTTATCATTCAAAAGAATTGTTTTCTATCTCCACTTTCTATCTAATTGTGGTTACAATAATTAATTACAGAAGTGATCAAACCTCTGATTGTTAAATTGTAGCTGTAGTATTTTAATGAGAAGATACAGAGGTTATTTATACTCTATAGGCCAGAATATGCTACATCTCCATGCTCATCAGGCTACTCATTTCCAGAAGATAAACAGGAAATAGGGAATGGCATAACATTCTTTTCTTTTGGTTCCTGAAAGACAGATTACTGAACTTGATGTCTATATCATTGTATACAGCCACAACGAAAACAATAAATTAGGCAGAGGTTTAGTGAATTCACCAAGGAAAATGACACTGCTCTAGTGCTCAAAACAATCTCTCTCTCTCTTATATTGAAGGTTATACAACAGCTGATGGAAGACTTGTATTTTCCTTATTGCTGTATTGGTGTGGCTGGTGTTTGTAAGTCCATCAACATAGTTTTATTTATTCTCCATGTTCTCTTCCAAACAGTATATTCAGTTAAACCAAGGCAGTTTGACCTCTCTCCCTCTCATCTCAGGAAATGAAAATTCTATTAGGAAGAAAAAAACTGTATTACTAAAGAGGAAAAAGAAACAAGTAAAATAGAAAATTAGTTCACAAGACTGAACAACCTTTGTAGGGGGTTTTCATTGCTTGAGAGAAAGTATCTGACGTGGAATCGTCCCTACCATATATATAGGTGATACCTGGCATTGGGTTGGGTGGGTTGGGTTCGGGTTGGGTCAAGACACTGTGGATTGATTTCGGGTCGGGTTGAATTTCAGGTTGGGTCAGCAAGTGCTAAACCCTAACCCTAAAAGTTCGGGTTAAGGTTGACCCACAGGTCAATTCGGGTCATTCTTAAAAATAACAGAACTTTTATAAAATAAAGAAAAAATACATAAAAATGTCAAAATTTAAGGAATTAACCTTAAAATTTTAAACGGTTAAAAGTAAAGACTAAATAGTAAAGATGAAAGAGAAAAAGCTTCTAAAAATATATAAATAGTCCTAATTAGACCTTACAATTGGGTCAGCAAATTGACCCATGACCCAACCCAACTCAACCCAGTTTTTTTCTAGGTTGGGTCAAGTCGGGTCATTCTCAAATTCAAATAGCTAAATACGAGATCCTAATCTATTTTTTTTGGGTTGGGTCAATTTTTTGCCAGGTCTGATTGCATCGAAAAGGAATTATAACCTTCAGGGGCCTATAGAATTGAAAATACTCTGCTACATCTCTTATATTCATCAAAAAATTTGTTAGGTGCCAAATTTTAATCTGAGTTTAGTTTAATCAAGTTTATTACCTAGAAAAAGCTAAGTAAGATTCGGCTAAGGTTTTCATTCCCCCTCTTTTTCCTTTTATTGGGTTAATGAGCTTGCATATGGAGTGAACCTAGGCTAGACATTTTTTTATTCACCTAATGAGATTTTCTTTTTCTTTTTTTTTATTTCTATAGTTTTTTTCTTATTCCTTTATTTTGTTCCTAAAGTCTCAATTTGGAAGATGTTAGGATTGAATTGGGAGTCTCCGGGATTAGGAGACTCCGCTGAGTTAGGATCGAATTAGGAGTAGGAGTCTCCGTTTTGAGTTTGAGTTCTTGTAAACTTAGGAGATTCGATGGCTATATATATATATATATATATCTGAATCCTCAATGAATGAAACACAAGAAAAACAAACCAGAAAAGCTCTGGTTTTACATGGTACCAGAGCCATGAGAGGTCTATGTTCCAAGACCTCTGGAGATTAGTGGCGGCAACAACGAAATTCGGTGCCGGGAAAGGAGAGACTTTGCACTCCAGATTCCATTCGAGACTCTGTCTTCCACAGAGTTTGATCTTTGCCTTCGTCCTACCAAGACTGCAATCGGTGGTGGAAGCGGTGATCTGTTACCAGTTGTGCGAACATTGAGAGGCGGGAATCGTTCCAGTGGCGGCGATCCATTACCAGTGGTCGTCTTTCGTTCCAGTGGCGGCGATCTCTTACCAGCGGCGGCGATCTATTACCAGCGATCTGTTACCAACGGTGCGAACACTAAGAGGCGAGAATCATTCCAGCGGCGGCGATCCATTACCAGTGGTCGTGTTTTGTTCCGGCGGCAGCGATCTCTTACCAGCGGCGGCGATCTATTACCAATGGGCGATCTCTTACCAGCGGCAGCGATCCATTACCAGCGATCACCTTCTCTTACCAGCGGCAACAATCCATTACCAGCGATTGCCTTGTTTTTAGAGCAAAAGCTTTAGAAGAGGTTGGTTGCGGATGACTCGCAAGTTCGGTTGCAATCCCAAATCCAACAAGCAGCTTTTATAAGGACTGACTCGCGAGTTCGGTCAGTGCAATCCCAAATCCGAAGAGCAGCTTTTTGTTTAAGGACTAAAGCCCATCGATGGCCGAAAACAGAGAAAAAGAACAGAGCAATGGTCAATTGACAAGGAATGTGATCTCGCCCTACCTTCTATCAACCAATGACAATCCAGGCAGCATTATCACACAGATCCAACTTAGAGGCGACAACTATGATGAATGGGCTCGAGCAATAAGAACGGCGTTGCGAGCCAAGAAGAAATTTGGCTTCATCGATGGATCGGTGAAGCAACCTCCGGACGATTCGGTGGAATTGGAAGATTGGTGGATGGTGAATTCCATGCTTGTGTCATGGATTCTGAATACGATTGAACCTAATTTACGTTCAACCGTAACGTACACTGAGATTGCGCAGACACTCTGGGACGACATAAAGGAGCGATTCTCTGTCGGTAATGGATCACGAGTTCAACAACTCAAATCCGAGCTAGAAAATTGCAAACAAAGAGGAATGACAATTCTGAATTACTATGGCAAACTCAAGATGATTTGGGAGGAATTGGGAAATTATGAGCAATATCCCACTTGTTAATGTGGAAAGTGCAGCTGCAACATAAGCAAGGCATGGGATAAGAAGCGAGATGAAGAGAAACTTCATCAATTTTTGATGGGGCTAGATGACACGGTCTATGGAGGTGTGCGTTCGCATATACTGAGTACATAACCCTTGCCAAGTTTGAATCGAGCCTATGCTATAGTAATTCAAGAGGAGCAAGTTCAAACCATGACTAGAGCAAAGGAAGAGAAGACTGAAGCTGTGGCCTTCGTAGCCCACGCAGGGAAGAGGCAAGGCAAAGGCAGAGACAATAACTTAATATGTACTCACTACAACAAGGCAGGCCACGATACAGAGTCTTGTTTCCAAATGATCGACTACCCTGAATGGTGGGGCGATTGGCCGAAGAATAATTCCCGTGGAACAGGCCGAGGACGTGGTGGACAGAAACAAGGAGCAGGGGCAGGCGGAAAAGGACGTGGCGGCCAAGTCAAGGCCAATACAGCCAAAGCCTCTGCACAAGGCAATGCGTCTCAAGGATAATCAATTGATGCAGCCAAGACTGGGTTAAATGGACTAAGTAGTGAGCAATGGAACAAATTACTCAACCTTCTGAACACACAGAAAGAGGGGAGTCAACGACTAAGTGGTAAGCAAAAACTGTCAGAATGGATAATAGACACAGGGGCCTCTTATCATATGACAGGAAGCCCTCGAGTCAATGAGAGACATAAAGAATGTCATTTCGTGCTCTATCGGACTACCAAACGGGAAAGCGACAATAGCTGAGAAAGAAGGCACAGTTGCATTGGACGATCATTTGAAACTAACTAGTGTTTTATATGTGCCTAGTTTGAATTGCAATTTACTTTCTGTCTCACAATTAATTGAGGAATCGAATTGTGTTGTCCAGTTCACTAATAAATTCTGTGTGATACAGGACCGCACTACGAGGATGCTGATTGGAGCAGGTGAGCAGAGAGAGGGACTCTATTATTTCCGGAGCATTACATCAACAAGAGCAATGAAGACTACAGAGAGCAGAACATGGGATATTTGGCATCAAAGGTTAGGGCATCCTTCTTATAGAATTGTTAAGTTGCTGCCTTTTATTAGCACTAAGAATAATAATGATGACAGTATTAAGAGTTGTGATGTATGCTTCCAAGCTAAACAATGTCGAGAATAATTTGTTTCTAGTAATAATAAAGCATCCGATATTTTTGAGTTAATTCATTGTGATTTATGGGGCCTGTATAGAACTGCAGCCTCTTGTGGTGCTCATTATTTCTTGACCATAGTAGACGATTTTTCTAGAGGTGTTTGGATCTATCTTCTGGTTGATAAGACGAAAGTGGGACGAGTTCTTCGAAATTTTTTTGCTATGGTTCAAAGGCAATTTAACAAACCTGTAAAGGTGATCTGTACTGATAATGGGACTAAGTTTATCTGCTTGGGTAGTTATTTTACTGAAAGTGGTATTATTCATCAAACCACTTGTGCCAGGACCTCTCAACAAAACGAGAGGGTTGAACGTAAGCACCGCCACATACTCAATGTTGCCCGAGCCTTGTGCTTTCTAGCTAGCTTGCCTATTGATTTTTGGGGGGAATGTGTCTTGATCGCATGTTATTTGATCAATCGGACACCGTCCATTCTGTTGAAAGGAAAGACTCCCTATGAAATGCTATTTGGGCAACCTCCTTCTTATGATAATGTGCGAGTTTTGGGTTGCTTAGCATATACGCACAATCATGGACATGGAGGGGATAAATTTGTCAGTCGAAGCAGATGGTGTGTTTTTGTTGGATATCCTTTTGGAAAGAAATGATGGAGCTTGCATGACTTAGAGTCCAACAAGTTCTTTGCATCAAGAGATATTACTTTTTTAGAGCATGAATTCTTGTATGCACACAAGGAGGATGCACAGC